AACCTTTGCTCCCAGCCACTGCTTTTGAATTCTACAGTTGTAGCTTGCTCTATTCTTAGTTCTCAGCAGTTTGTGTGCAGTCTGATATGAAATTTCAACAACAACAAAAGCATGCTCGTGCTGGAACTACCTCTTGTGGACATACCTGCACACACACTGAAATTCAGTTTGGATCGGCCAAGCTGCCTTTAAGTGGTTTACTCTGACTTAGGTAGAAAATCAATAACTAATCAATGCTAGTGTGTGGAGTTACAATTTACACGGTTCCATATTTGAAATGTCAAGAAGGCAATGAATCCTTGTATCCTTGAGTCAGATCTGAGTTGGACAACTGGGATCAATATCAGGTGGTGAGACTGGCAGCAGGAGCAAGCGAGGGTCACCTTCACCCATCCCTACTGAATCAGCAGTATCTCTCTTCCACACACACAACTGAAGGCACACACAGACACATATACTTGAGGGCCTGCTTAGGTTACCAAACTGCGACCTCACAAAAATGCTCATTATAGTGAACTGAACCTTCCCTCCCATTTCCTTATGAATTATTCATTTTGTTATTATGATTTCAGCCATTCTTTCATAAGGTTACCGCACCCTTCTCTGTTTGGATTCTGTTTCCTTCCAGGCTTCCACTGATTCCCCCTTTTTTATTTTTTTTCATCCGCTTTGAATTTTCCTAATTTCTTTCTGCTTTTCCCTTTTGGTCTCTCTTATCCATCATCACTGTTGAGGAGCTGATCTGCTGTGTTTAATTAAACTGCTCCGTCTTCCTGATGAGAGCTAATCTGGGATCGCGGCGAGGGGTGCACCGCTTTTGCGTAAAAGGGGACCTGTTGTCACAGCGCTGGTCCTCAGAGGAGCCGAGAGTCTGCACAACATAAAGTGACCCACTAATGTGCCTCCTGCCTTGACCTTGATCCCGTGACTCTAAATATACAGTTTGCCCAAGGCGAGCATCACTGAGCTGGTGTTATCCTTTCAGGTGTGTGTGTTTGTGTTTGTGTGTTTATCTGGGTGTTGCTCCAAAGCTCAACAATTTTTGGATCTCGCACTAAATCCCCTTTTGTCGTCAACACCCAAGCAGCTTAGTAATAGTTCAATAAAAACATGAACTCATTTTTGGATTTGTTGATGCCGTGCAGAGAATATTTTTTTTCATTCCTTCTATTCTTATCAACTATTCATTGTGTTAAGTTTATATTGAGTGTGTAAGAGTGGAAAATGCTTTAGTGCATGTGTATGCCACTGTGCATGGCATTTTGAACCCACAAGCATTTAATCTTATATTTATAAATCTGCCACTGCTGTTTGTTTTATGTCGAGCACTCCCATGCCCTAGATTTGAGAGAGAGTGAGCATCAGGGAGGTTTAGTACACCCGGTGTTGCTTGTGCAGTTTGGTGTAAATGTTCGGAGCGAGAGGTCAGGGCATGGGTAAGCGATAAGGCGACAAAGTAGGAGCTGGGAAGATTTTCCTGTGCGTTTTCCATCTGTCTGCCACTCCACCAGTCACATGAATTTAAGGTCACTGGTTATTTAAGATGCTTTACTTGGCTGACCTCCAACACCTCCTGGGAGGATGCTGCAAGATTAAGAGCAGTGTGCCTCGCCACAGGTTAGAGGGAACAGATGAGCTTATAGTGCTCAGTGTGTGGGATGGGTTCAGCTGAAGGTTTTGTTTTCTTCACTGGTACCTCATTTTTCACTAAATACCCCTTTCTCTCTGAACTTCCAAGATAAATGTTTCAAGATGCATTCTGGGCTCTTTTCAGAATTAATGCCAGAAATGTTAGAAATAAATGGATTTGCTGAAAATTCATCAGTTGTTATTTTAAAGACTAAAATATTCTCTGGTTTTGTTCAAACTCTTTATCTTGTGTGATTTAGGAAGTCATTATGGACTTTGTCACAATGAGGCTAGTTTAGGACAAAAAGACTTATCGATAAGTCCAAACAAACCAATCATTAATAGTTAGGTGTAACCCTGGAATGATGCTTTAAACAATGTGAGTTAGTTCATAAAGACTGAGCTAAAAATTAATAATGATAATCAATTTATTGATTATGAGCTGCACTTCTACCACATCAAAAGGAGTTAGTTCAGGTCGTCCAGCCATCTGGCTAAGATGCCTCCTTGACAT